TTGGTTCCCTCAATGGCGGCTCCTCTCTACTGGTTATTAGGGGTGGCAGAGGACTTGGTTAAAGCTTACAAGGAGTTTACTTCTTATTCTCTACTCCCTAGTTTCTTTAGTTGTGGTTGCCTCTTCCCGGGTTGTGGACTTTTTAAATTTGGAGGTTACTGTTCCATTGAGGTATTGTTGCTAAGCTAGGCCGTAGCAACATTATGGCAGCAAACTTACTAGCAGCTGACCCACATTTTGTGGGAAAGTCCTATGCGCCAGTAACGGGTCTGGAACCAAGTGGATCTTCACTTGGGGACAAACTGGTCTTCCCACCAGTTTACTGTGACGCAATGGAGGGTAAGAAAAAGTGTGACTTGATTCTCAGAGGCAGCAAGAAGGCTAGCAAACATGGAATCATTTTCTCAGAACAGGAGGTGGTTGATCTAATCGAAACTTACAAATTCACTCTGATTGACAAATTCTGAAATGGTACACCCTAAGATGGATTCAATAAGGAAAACTTTTGTTGAAATGAAATTAGTTGGAAATTGAAAGATAGGGCTTTTTGATGGTAGACATATTATGATTCATCTCACCAAGGAGGAGGATTATGCCAAGATGTTCTCCAAAAAATTCATTCAGATTTAAGATACAACAATGAAGTCACTGAAATGGACTCCTGTAAAAAGGAATTGCCAATAATTCCAATTTGGTTCAAGCTCCCTAATCGCAAGCTACATTTCTTCAATCATAGGGTTTTGTTCTCCATTGGGGCTCTACTAGGGAGAGAAAATAAAGCATTACAGAAGAGGTTGCTGAAGGACAGACTTCACAAGAACCTGCACAGGCTAGAGGGGCTGCTGAAGAACAGACCTTGCAAGAACCTGCAAGGTCTGGAGAGATAGAAGCGCTCAGGGCTGACATTGTTGCAGAACAAATACAAGGGAATCTTGATGATATGGATGGAAAAGAACTCATGGAAATAGAACCTGTAACAGCAGCTAAAACTGAGAATCCACAGGAACAACAGGCTGATGATAGAACACAATACCATGAGACATTGTCACCAAATAGCAATGGTGTTCCTCCCCACATTCTTGTTAAGAGATGCAACGGACCATGGAAGCAGATTGGAAAATTCAAAGAGGAAGAAAGAAGAAAAAGATCCTTTGGTCTACACAAGAGGACACATGTTGTAGAGGCTGGTAGTTCATACTCTACAAGGAGAGACTCTCTCACTAGGTTAACTAGGGGGAGATCTAAATCCCTCCACCATGATTAACTTTCTCTGTTGGAATATAAGGGGGATTGCCCACCCATTTTCTCTAAAAAAGCTAAGATATTTAAATGAAAAACACAAATTATGATGTTTTATTATACTTGAACTTTTGGTGCACCAAAACCCACTTAATTTCTCTAAATTTTTTCTAGGTTTTAACATCTTCCCCAATCAGAATAACAAAATATGGTTATTCTGCAGACAAGAATTGGGGTGTGTCATCTTGTTGAATCGCCCCTAATTTCCACATTTTTCAATAAACATGGCTGGTCAAGTGAGAATTGCAACAATGATGTATGTTGAATGCAGTAAAACTACTAGAAAAAAGTTATGGCATGTTCTTCAGCAAATCAGTCAACATACTGTTCAGGCCTGGCTAGTGGGAGGTAACTTTAATTGCTTAGCCTCCCCTGTGGAAAAGAGAGGTGGTAGACCTCCAAAGATTGCTACTATGACTCTGTCAATGATAATATTCTAGCTACTGGATTCTTTGATTTGCAGTACACTAGACCTAATTTTACTTGGAGAAGAGGCAAGTTGTGGGAGAGATTGGATAGGTTCCTTGCAAATGACAAATGGATTCAACAATTCTTGAATACCTCAGTTTCCCACCTTAGCCTGGCTGGTTCTGATTATAGACCCCTATTGATCCATATAATGCACCTCAGCAAAGAATCAAGCCATCTTTCAGATACCTGAACTTCTGGTCAACCCATAAAGACTTCATCATCATGGCTAAGAAAAACTGGAGGGACTGTGAACACCCTAACCTACTCATTAAGCTCTGGAGTTTGCAGAAAAAAGTGAGTAAAGCTTTAACCCATTGGAATTGGAATACTTTTGGAAATGTTTCGGTAGGAGTACACAAGAAAAAAAGAGCTACATGAAATTGAAAAGGTAGCTTTGATTGGGCAGGTTGAGACCTCATTACTGGAGGCAAATGAGAAACTACTTACTGCAGTGGCTTGACAGGATAACTTTTTGAAACAGAAGGCCTCCACTAATAAGTTTACTGATGGAGATAGGAACACCAGATTCTATCATGCTTGCATCAATTACGTAAGAAAATGCAATACAATTCACTCTATCAAAGATAATTCAAGCCAACGGATAAGGGACTCCTCTAACATTACTGCTAGTGTTGTGGATTACTGCCAGGATCTTATGAAAGCCCCCATTACTTCTAGAAAACAAATTGACACAGATCTATTCAATCCAGATCACATCTATACTTCTGACATCAACTTGCCTGAGGTTCCCAGTGTTGAAGACAACAAGCGAGCTCTCTCTCTCATTGACAGCTTCAAATCTGCTGGTCCTGATGGTTTCACCTCAGAATTTTATAAAAAGGCCTGAGACATTATCAAAGATGACTTAGTTCCAGCTATTCAAAGCTTCTTCCATGGAAATGAGCTACCTAATTATTTCTGTGCAAGTTCATATGTATTTGTCCCTAAATCTAACATCAGGGAGAACTGGAAGCATTTCAGAACCTTAAGTTTGACAAATGTGGTGAGCAAAATAATCAGTAAAATTCTGGTGAGAAGATTACAATCAATTTTACAGCACATAATAAGCCCTAAACAAGCTACATTTGTAAAAGGAAGGTACATTGGGGACAATGTGTTACTTACACAGGAGCTGCTTCATGACCTTGAGAGATGTTGTAGAGGTGGCAACATGATATACAAACTTGATCTACATAAGGCTTATGACATGCTTAATTGGGACTTTGTCATATATATAATGAGGGCAAGAGGATTCTCAATGGCCTCTTGTCAAATTATAAAAGATGGCCGGAAGGGAGCATAAATTCTGTTCTTGTTAATGAAAGTGCTCATGGCTTCTTCAAAGCATCTAGGGGCCTTAAGCAAAAGGACCCACTGTCTCCTACTATTTTCATCCTTGCCTTGGACTACCTTTCAACACTGATTGACAGACCAAGCCACAAAAAAAACACAACAAATGCCATCACAGATCATCCCTGGACATCAGCCATTTGATATATGCAGATGATATTATTATCTTCTTCAGAGCAAATAAAGCAGCTGCCAGGATATTATAGGATTGTCTTCAGAAATTCCAAAATACTTCAGAGCTGACATTAAACATAGAAAAATGTCTGATGCTTTTTAGTAAAAAGGTTCTCCCTGCCAACAAGCAATGGATTGCAAATCTCACTAGCTTTACCCCAATTTCTACCCCCTTCAAAAATTTGGAATTGCAATTGCTGAAAGGAAGAGCCAAGCTCACTCATTTTGATGATGTAGTGGCTAAAACTAACTCACAACTACAATGTTGGACCAACTCCTTTTTGTCCAATGGAGGCAGAATAACTCTATTAAAAAGCATCCTTACCACTTTTCCTTGTTACATCCTCCAAATGGCTACCATGAAGAAAAGCACTGAATTGCTGTTAGAAAGAAATTTTAATAGATTCCTTTGGGCTGGATAGAGAAAGCAAATGATCTGGG